AATACAAAACAGCATTTCTTCTGAGGCAGGGTAAGATGGGAAAGGAGGGCGGTACGGGCGCTACGCTCGCTCGCTCTTAAGTTGAGCCTCATGCTCTCTGTGCCTTATTTTGTCTTCCACTGAGATGGACATGGTACATTTTGCTCAATTTTCCACTCCTAATCATGTTGAGAACATTGGAGGAGAGGGGCTTTCATTCTCCTGGATGGCTTTTGGAGCTGGAATTCATTTAACTCAGTATTGTTCCTTTTCCAGTCAAACTCTGACCTGGAACCTGCCAGTCCTACTGGCAGTGTGGCCCAGCACAGTTCCAGGCCTGGGTGCAAGTTGGGGTCATAGAGATGTACCCAGAGGCCATTCCCCAGAAGGCTGGGGGTGGGAACATCAGAGAAAACTCCCGGGGCCCTAAGACATTCTACAGGGAGTGAAGAAGGATGGTAGAAAAACAAAGACCCAGAGGTATGGAAGTAAACACAGAACAGAGTGGTTATGCTAGGTACACACTTGAAAAGAGGGACCTGGAATAAAGAGGGTGGAGAATTGGGCCTGCAAAATTCCAGCCATAGCAAAAGTTCCAAATAGCAAAGGAAGACTTTTCAGGTAGGTGGGATAAAAATACCACTAATGCAGCCTCTTTGCCCAGAAACTTCAGCTGCATTATAAATCCAAATATAAGACTGCAGGGATGTGGAATCTAAAGCTGGTTTTTTGGACCCCACGGGCAAATCTTCATGGGTTTCTCCTCCTGTCAAGTGGCCAGTGTCTGAAAAATACACTTCCCTCCGTGGGAGCGCTTCTGAGCTTCTGGACCCCTCTGTCGGCCCCTCACCCTCAATGCAGTGGACTCTTTGCTGGGCTGGGCTGGAAGGGACTGTCCCCAATGAAATATATTCTGTCCTGCCTTGCCAGCTTTATTAATTGGCCATGGTCCATCTTGCCCCTAACATGACACTTGTTTATGGCTGGGTGGGAAGGACTAATGGCTTCATGAACCAGTCATGAAACAAGCAGACAGAAGTCAAAAACACAAAAGAGAGAGAGAGAGAGAGAAGGCCACAGGCAGGACCCAGTAAGGTTCTTCAAATACAAGGGACTTGGAGCAGACACCACAAAAGCAAATGGGGCCTTCTCCATTAGATCTAAGATGTGGCCTTGCTTTGGTGCCACCAACAAGCTTAGAGAACAGTGGTGTGGGGTGCCTGAAATCTGCTTGAAGAAGATAGTCCTCTGGGCTGTCTGACCAGGCTGCCCAAACCAGCAGAGTTCAGGGCCTCTTAGGTTCTACTCCATTAAGAATAAAACTAATGGCCCTCCACCTTAAAACAGTCTCCTCCCACCCAAGACAACCTGGTGGGAGAGAAAGGTGCTATGTCCTTTCCTAACCTATCAAATTTAGGGGAGCCCAAAAGGGCTATAATGCCCTCTTGTTTCCTGATCCTTGTTTCTGACCTGGCAGGAAACCGCCAAGAGCTCACAGGCAACCAGTACAACCAAGCCTTATTTCTCTGCAAATATGATAAGCAGTGACACAAAGTGCCATGGAATGATCAATTGTAAAATGCATGCTTTGTTTGCATGCAGCCTGGTGAAAGAGTCTGCTAACTACATAACCCTGGAAAACAGCATGCGCTCCTATCACACGTGCAACATGCCGAGTGCAAAACTGTATATGGCATATAACATGCTGGCATTTGCTGCTCATGTATAAATTTCTTAGAAAAATAAATGTGCCCCACTTTTACATACAGGACAAAGTATTATCCTAAAGTTTTCTACAGAGTCGATTTTAAAACTTACCCAATTCCCCACCCTTTACCCTGTCTGCCATAGGCAGGTTAACTTCCAAATAGTAAAATATCAAGGAGTTTTTCTTTGAACATTTTGCAGGAAAACTGCAAATCAAACATGCTAACCACTAGGGAATAAATAATTCCAGGTTAAACAAAGTTGGCAGGAATTGGTTTTCCTCAAATTGTATGAGGATTCAAGGCAAATATATTTATATTAAAAAAGATTATATGCACATGGTTTTAAAAATTAGAATAATGAGCATAGGTCTCCTTCCACTCACCCAGAGCTATCATGTAGAGAAGTCGGGCAGAAGTAACTACGTATATGTAGCACGAACACCTTCCTAGACACATACGTCTTCCGTACCTAATTTTTCAAACTTTCACATGGAAGAGGATAAATACAAAGAGTCACCTCTCCTGGGAAAGCAGGGGCACACTTCTTCGCGGAGGCGAAGAGCTCCTCTAGGGCCGCGAAGCCGCGGCCCCGCACTCACCGGTTTTCTTCTCCAGCCTCAGGGCGGAGAATGGAAGGGCAAGGGGTCCCCGCAGCCCCCTCCGCCTGGCTGCGGCCGGAGGGTCCTCGCCCTCGCTGTGCTCGGTGTGTGGCGTGCGGGGCGGCGGCTGAGCAGAGTCCTGTCCAGTTCTCCAGGATCGAGTTGGGCCTAGGCCGGGGACTGGCTGCGGCCGCGACGTCTTCTAGGTCTCCAAGCCGAGGTCGGATCCCATGCGGAGAGCCGCGGGCTCGTGGATCCCGAACACGCCGATCCAGTCGCGCGCCCCTAAACTTCTCGAGTCCATTAGGCTGAGCGACTCCCACCACAGCCTCTGTTTAGTAATTCGTGCCCTCAGTAAACCGACCTCCCACGCTGCGTGAGGTCGCCAGGGTCCCAGCGCTGGCATGGACAGGTCGGGCGACCAGGGCCCGGGGGAGGGGGTGCCGCGGGGTGATGCAAACGCACGGCTGCGGGGCGCGCTGTCACCGTGAGCAATGAAGTGCCTTTGACCTTTCCACCCCTCGGGGCTCCTAAACACACGTGTGTCTTCACAACAAAGGTAGCTAGTGAGGAGAGCTCGGGACTGCGGGACGGGGCCGCGGAGGCGGAGTCGCGGGGTGAGGAGGGGAGCAGGAACACCCGCGCGCAGCGGCCAGGGCTCTCGGGGCGACTCGGCGACCCTGGTCCCCGACAAGCGTAGGCGCCTGCTCTTTGCCACCTTGCGCTCCGCGCGGTCTTTCCTGCACGCCAACCCAACCTGTGATAAGGCCATCAAACATAACAGGTCTCCGCTATTTCCTCCAAACACCTCATTTCGGGCGGAGAAGCGAGCGGGAACCCGGAGGAGGCGGCGGGGCGGGGGCGGGCGTGGGAGGAGGAATCCGCTCCAAACGCAAACAGAAGCCGGCAGGGCCACTGCGGGTAATTACAGCTCATTAGTGAGGAGCGTTCCCCTACAGCAGCAGTTCCCTTGGAGGCCCGCGTCGGGCCGGGCCGACGCGACTTGGAAGGGCCCGGGCCGCGAAGCAGCGCCCCCGCCAGAAAGCCAGCGACGGGCCGCGGGTCCCCGTTCGTCACCCCCCTCCAGGTGGTTGAACCGAACAAATTGACCACTGTAGTGTCTCCAGCTCCCGGGCCTCGGGTCCATCAGCTGGACAGACGGAACAGGGCCATGGGTCACCTGCTACCGCCCTCCTCCAGGCCTAGATAGCCCAGCTCCAGCCACAGACTCTTTGTCCGCAAACCCCAACTCCACGCTCGACCCCCCCCCGCACCCCAAAGTGGAACAAGGCACCAACTCCAATTCCACGAGATTTGTCGGTGGCTCTTTACCTTCAGCCCCTGCCCACCCCTCCGACAGAAAAGGGTGGGCAGAGGAAGCTCCAGGCAGCCCGGGACCTAGGGCTGCGACAGCCCGGCAAAGATTTAAATGCAGCAGTGAGGCCTGACCGGAGGAGACACCACGCCAGCGCCAGCGATCTCCCTGGCTATTAGGTTACGGCTCTGAGGGGAGGGGACCGAGCGAATCAGGCCACGTAAAGCAGTTTTTGACTGAAATTAGAGTGTATTTATTTGCAGCAATCCTTTAACAATGATCAAATCTTGACAACAAGCAACAGCAATTACTGCTTAAGTGTCGCCTCTAGATAGGAGCGGCAGATAGGGAACTGCATTATCTCGAAAACAAACTGAAAGGCCCTGAATGTCTGTAATCAAATCGCCATCTCCCCAAAGTCTGATTGACAGGGCAGATCACCCCAAGATAATGAATTTATTACATTTCCTGGGTTATTTACAAAAGGGGGGAGGGCCAATCCGGGTTGCCCCCTAGGTTTAACTGTAAATTAACAAGAAAAATTGGCTTGAAAAGAAACCATACTGGGCTAAGACGTTCTGCCTGTGTCTCCTTCCTTCGTGTTATTGCTTTAAATGTTTTCCAAAAATAATTGTTCTACAAACAAATCCTCTAAAAGAGTTTCCCAAAGATTAAATATCCCTTTTCAACTCACAATATATTTATATTAAAAAAATCAACCCTTCTATGTAATACATGGAGGATTGTGTGTTTGAGTTATATACATACATTTTAAAAAACGGTTTGTTTTGCCTCTTACAAAGGACTGAAATTAGCAGGAAAAAAAATGTTGGCATTTGGCTCACGAGGGTGCAAGTTTATATGGGGTACAGGAGCCAAATCGTGTGTGTATCTTGAGGCACATTTACATCTCCACACACAGGTTATCTGTGGTGAGACTGCTGCTGATTCATGGCTTAAAATTTCCAAATCATGTTCTGTCATTACTGAGAAAAAGTATTTGTTTTAATGCCAAGTCAGATCTGTTTAGGAAATTATCTTTTTACTAGCCACAAAGCAAGTTGACTATATAGTACATTTTGCAGAAGATGCTGCAGGAAAAGAAATCTACTAAACAAAACTTTTAGCGAAATTTGACATGGACTAGTCAGGAGGTTTCTCCGTCTTTCACAGACTTGGGTGGAGAACAGCCCATTCCTAGTATTTTATCTCTGGAATCGTTTCTTCATATTAAAGCTGTATTAAGGTATCCAGACATAAAGGTCTCATTCAAACTGAATGGTAATTTATTAATAAACAATGAATATGTTCAACAAAAAGAAAAATGATAGAATAAGATTAATACAGTTTCCCTTTTTATAATGAGAAAAAAAGCACAATTTTAGAGTTTCAGGCAATTTAACGTCAGCTTTTGGAAACACTTTCTGGCGTTTGGTCCACGACATCCAACTACAAATTAAAAATAAATTACTATGTTGCAATTTACATTTTAAAACAAGTCCATGAATAAAAAGAAAGCGATTTTCATATCCGGGGACTTTCCCCTCCTTTCCACATAGGATAAAATACTATGTTACAGGTGAGAGGCCAAGAAAGACAGGGAGGGAGAGGAGGAGCAGGAAAGCGAGGCTCTGAGAAGCAAGAGGAGACTTACGTGTTATCTGGAGTAACACTGTCCTTTAATAAACCATGATTTTGCTGTCTGTACAAAATTGTTTATGGTCTGGTTTATTCAAATAAGGCAAAGTGGAGGTGGCGCTGAAGGAATCTTTTAAGAAAACAGTTTTCTTTGAGCTGGTGCTGGCGAGCTGAATTTTGGGAAGGGCTCCGGTCGCTGGTGCGCTGATTGTCTCGAGTTTTTTTAATCGGGATTTTTGGTTTCGATTTTGCACTCCTGGGTTCTTTGGGCTGTTCCTGCTTCGGGGTTCCACTCGGTGCGTGGTCAGAACTTGCTGCAGTCGTAGACGAAGGCCCCAGACGCGCGGTACAGAGGCTGGCTGGCCGGGAAGGCCATCTGACAGCTGCTGTTCCCGTTCACGGGAGAGTTGTTCAAGCCGATCCGCTGCGACTCGAACATCTCCCTCACCGAGTGGAAGTTCTGCTGCTGCCCGGGGTAGCCGGCCGCCGCCGCCGCCGCCGCCGCGCTAGCCAGGTGGCCCAGGTCTCCACCCGCCTGGTTCAGGTACCACGACGTGAGCCGGCCTTGGTGCGTCGCGGGGTGGTGGCCGGCCTCCGGGCCGCCCCCGCCGTGACTCAGGGACGACGAGCTGCTGCTGGTGACCGGAGGCAGAGAGTAGTCGGGCAGGGGGTCGTCCACCGCCGAGCCCGCGCCCCCGGGCGCGCCCTGCAAGTGGCCGCCGCGCTCGCCAGCCGCGTACAGGCTCATGGCCTGCAGGTTGCAGTGGTAGGTCCCCGCCGTCCCCGCAGCCCCCGCGGCCCCCGCGGCCCCCGCGCCGCCACCGCCGCCGCCGCCGCCGCCGCCCGAGCTGCCCGCGCTCGAGCTCTGGCTGCAGGGGGAGCTGTAGAGGGAGCTCTGGCCCGGCGAGTAGGCGCCAAGCGCCAGCGGGGGTGCGATGCCTGCACGCGACGACGCGGCCGCCGAGGCCAGGAGGCCCGAGCCCAGCTCCGCCGCCGCGCCCTGCGGCGACCCCCGCAGCGACGTCATGATGTTGTCCACGCTGAAGCCCTGGCTGTGGTGCGGCGGCGCGGGCGGCGCGGGCTGCGGTGGCGGCGCGGGCTCCGCACCGTCCAGGCTCAGCGGCCGTGCGGACGGCAGGCTCCCCGGGGGGCTGCTCCCGCTCGACAGGCTGCTGCTGCTGCTGTCGGGGCTCTCGATCTTGGGCACTGCGGCGGCGCTGCCACTGCCCAGGGCGGCGGCGGCGGGGGACAGGGGCTGGGGCGGCGAGGGGCACGTACCGTTCTCCGTCTTGATGTCCTGGATGCGCACTGGCGGCGGTTGTGGTCCCGGCGCGGCGCCGTCCGCCTGGTCGGGTGGCGCGGCGGCCGGGGGCTGGCGGCCGGGCGGCTGTGGCGGCTCTTTGAGGTGCAGCCGGTCCTTCTCCTCCTTGTCCTTCACCGCGTCCTTCTTCTTGAAGCGCCGCCGCCGCCGTAGAAAGCTGCCGTTCTCGAACATGTTATACGAGTCCGGGTCCAGCGTCCAGTAGCTGCCCTTGCCCGGCTTCTTGTCGTCGCGGGGCACCTTGACGAAGCACTCGTTGAGCGAGAGGTTGTGGCGGATGCTGTTCTGCCAGCCCTGCTTATTGTCCCGGTAGAAGGGGAAGCGATCCATGATGAACTGGTAATGCCGTTGAGCGTGATCTTCTTGTCCGGGGCGTTCTGGATGGCCATGGTGATGAGCGCGATGTAGCTGTAGGGCGGCTTCACCATGTCCTTGGGCTGCGGCTGAGGCGTGTAGGGCCCGTAGGCGCGGGCCATACCGCCGGGATACTGTTCGGCGTGCGCCGGGTGCGAGTACACGCTCATGGGGGCCGGCATGGCGGTGTAGCCGCCCCCGGCCGCCGCTGCCGCCGCGCGGTAGTAGCTCTGCTCGCCGCCGAGGTAGGGCACCACTCCCAGGGAGTTGGGGCTGGACACGGAGTAGCGCGCCTGCATGGCCCCGGCTCGCCGCCGCCGCCGCCGCCGCCCCGCGCCGCCCGCCGCCCCCCACCCTCGTCGGGCCGGGCCGCGCCGCGCCGGCCGCTGAGTCCGAGTCGGAGTGTGAGTCTGGGCCCCGCCGAGCTGGTGCCGGGCCGCCGCGCGGCGTCTGGCTCGGCCGCCGCCGCCTCCCTGCGCCTCCGGCCGCGCGGCCTCTCCCGGCGCCCGCTTGGACTCCTTAGGCCACCTCAGGTCCGGCTCCGGCCGCGGGAGGGTCGCTGCAAGGAGACAGGGCCGGACGAGGATGCGGCAGGGCGCCTTGAAGGAACTCGCGGAGCAACTTCCAGGAACAAACGGTGGGGGGGGGGGGGGGAAAAAAAAAGCCCAAAAGAAAAAAAAAACAAAAAAAAAAAAAACACAAGAAGACTCCCTTCTCGCCCCTTTACTTGAGCCTTCAGGAGACTGCCCCGAGCTGCGGGCGAAGGCGGCCAAATAACCAGGGGCGGGGCGGGGGGCGCCTGCCGGCCGCCTTCCCGGGCCCCCGCGTCACCTTTTCTCAGTCTCTCGCGCGCCGGCCGCTTAAGGAAGCATTGGGAAAACTTCTGAACTTTTGAGCATCCGTCACCCAGGCGAGGACTTTTTTACGCAGTTACATTTTTTTCCGGGCAGCGGAGCCCCGCCCCGCTCTGACTGCAGCAGCCAATGGGAGGCGAGAACCGCCTCTGAATGAGCCGGAGGCCGAGCCCTGCCGGCCCGCGCCTGGCGGCTGGAGGACCGCGGGGCTGACCACACGCGCGCCGGCCGCCCGTGCCCCGCGCCCCTGCCCGCGCCCGACCTGAGCCCCCGCCGTCGGTTGGCCCCCCGCGCTCCACCCGCTCATCGTCGGCGCCCTGTACGATCTCTCACTCCCTGCCACTCTCAAGGAGTCCCATTGTTCCCGCAGACATCTTGGGTCCACCTGGGCCCCACGCAGACCCTTCCTCCGTCCACCGCTCCCAGATGCCCACCGTGTCCTCGGGCCCCGCCTCGCACTGACTGGCTCCCATTCCTTCGTGGATCTGACGTCTCCAGCGTGGGGTTTCCTGGGCCTCGCCTCCTCTCGGCTCACCCCCTCAACTCTCCTCCTCCTCCTCCTTTTCTCCCCCACAGCCGCCAATCTCATTGGGTTCCCTGATGTCTCTAGTTTTCCCCCACCTGGAGGTTCTCACGTCCTGAACCCGGTTACAAAGGGCACGATTTTGAGGGCTCAGTCACACAGACACCTAGTTTCCAGCGAAGATGTTGTCGTGACTGCACCTTGCCCCACTCCCTGACCCTTTCCTAGTCGAAATAAAGAGAAGGGATAGTGGCCCTGCCAGAGGCTTGGGGGGGGGGTCGTTCGGTCCGATAAACTGCAAGCCCCACTGCGGGCTACCCTGCTCACCGGCGCCTCAGGGCCCTTGGCAGCCAGCCGGGGTGATGCGGGACAGAGGGGGCAGGGCATGGCTAGCCGACGGGACCCTTCACCCGCGGACTGAGGGCTCTGTGACATTAGCAGGTGTGATAACAAGAAGCCAATACGTCGAAGAGCTTAACACTTCCCCAGGCCAATCTCCATCTGCACACGCGCGGGGCTGCCTTCTCGCAGAGATCCTGACTGTAGTTGGGAATGTTCAGACTCGCGCCTAGGGCGGCTTAAAGGTTCTGGAAGGCTGAACACAGAGCGACCCCCACTCCTTGTGCTTACGCCTGACATTTGCAGTCTCTGGGTGACTGGAATGAGATGGGAAGGAAAAGAGAAATGAGAAAGGAATGAAACGTGAAACTAAGGAGCTGAAAAGGGACGGGCCTCCCCCGCCTGCAGCGCGATTCTACATTTCAGTTTTTCTAGAAAAGACCTTCCCAGAGACTGGACACTAGGTCCTTTACTAGAGCTGGGGACGTGGTCAATTTGAAACTGTGGGGAAGAAGTGTGTGTGACACATTTTACACCTCCGCTCCTCCAATTTCTATCAATCTTTTAAACTCAAGGACATGTTGGCAGACCCTTTTGGTTCCCGGCTAGAATGGCCTCCTCACTTCTGCACGAAAATACTAATTGCGGCTTCGGTTGTTAGCTGTCAAAGATGCTAACTTAACGGCCACGGCTCTGTGTAGCTTGAATTTTATAAAATAATTTCAAAATGGGCATTTACATCAAGAGAAGAAGATCTGTTGTTTCTAGAATCCGCAGTTTTGGGAAGTGGTTTCCTCGTGTTCTGCTGTACATTTGAGTCACCTGAGATTCCTTTCCCAGGTTGTTTGCAAGGCCAAGTCACTGGTGGGTTGGGAGAAACCAGATTTGTCAGCAGGAGGGTCAGTAGTTGGTGATTCCTGAAGATACTTGTGTGTGTGTGTGTGTGTGTGTGTGTGTGTGTGTGTAAAAGCCCCAGAATTTTAAAAAAGTAAATCTGCATCCAACCCTTCGCCCTGCACCCTGCGGGTCTTATCAGCTCCCAGGAGGAGGTTTTAAGCAGGGGGTCTGGCTTCAGTCCCGAGGACAATTAGAAAGTGATCTCCCTAAACACCTTGGCATTTGGTGAATTTGGGCTTTAAAATGCGTTTGCACTGCTAGCAGTGAGGTAGATGAACGCAGCTTTGTTTTCCGAATGTGGGAAACGCCAGCGGGGCCAGGCTTTGCAACAGACAATGTGCTAGGCTGCGCTTCCTCCCCCTACCCCCTCCCCCGCAACCCTCCCCCGCCCCCATGAACCCAGTGAAGTGTAAACAGCTTGTTAGGTAAATTGCAAATCGAAGAACAGAGGTGTTTTGAACTCCCCACTTTGAGTATAAAAATTGCTGCTGTGAACTTAGTATCTGGCATGCGAAATAAAATGCACTTTTATAAAGATCAGCTTTCCCCTGGTTTAGCTCTGGATATTTGCCAGGAAAAGATACTTGCATTTGTGTTTTATAAGCTCAGTCGGAAGCAAACTCCAGTAAACGGTTTGATTGTATTTCGAGCACTTCCCTTACTTTATTATTGTTATTGCTGTTGTTTGCGCATTAAGACGCAGACATGAAGTCTTTTGGGGAGCAGGTTAAAGTTTTTATTTTCAGGTAAACGTTTTTGGTGCCCTTTTACTGCTGCTCCGTGGGTCAGTTCAACCATCCGTCTTCCCTATAACCCTTGACTCGACTGAAAGAAATGCCCCCTCAAGACCCCTTGGCTTCTTTTCTGACACCTCGAGTACTTGCAGCCTGAAGGCCCCGCAGGCGACAGCGGTAATGGATGTTCGGTGGAACCCTAGCTTTGCGAACCCCGCCTCTCATTCCCCTTTCTGACCCGTCGGGCGGGGTTACAATTCCTTGGGCCCACCGAAGGGTTCTTTGCCCTGAGGAGGGGGCGTGACGTCACAGCAATGTTTAAAACAAGGCCTCTACGGCCCCTAATGCAGCAAAAAAACACCGGGAAGGGGGATGTGGCGAGCACTCCAGGAAATGCCCGGATTGGGGACGTGGTGACACCACGGGAATAAGGGGGAGGGGAGGAACGGTGTTCTATAGCGCGTCACCAGTAGCCAGAAGGAGCTCTTTTCCCCTTTTTAAGTAAAGTAGAGGGAGTACGGATTGGGCTGGGGGTCCCCTAGTGCTGAAACTGAGTTCTGAAGAACGCGAGCCATCCCTGTAGGAGACGCATCTGGAGCCTTCCAGTGACCCTTCTACCCAGTCCAGGCCAGCCTTATGTCCCGTGACCTGCCCAGACCCTTGTCCCGCCGCCTTTCAGGCTTCCCCACGCCCTTGACTCTGGATTCCGCCCTAGAAGGCGATCTGTCGGAGGATCAGGGGGATACAGACGCCTGCGTGTCGACCCCAGGGCCCCGCCTGGTCCCGAAGCTTCGGGACGCAGGAAAGGCGGGCTGACAAGACGAGGGAAGGGGGCCTCTCACGCTCGACACGGAGCAGTGATTCCCGGGGGCTCCGCACGTCCGCAGCCTCTCCCTGCTTCACTTCGGGAAAACGAAGTGGGAGACTAAGGCAATTTTTCAGACATTGCGAGTAGAAAACTTCCCACTAGGCTGCTACCACAGACAGTTGGAGCAAAATCCGCTTGGGGGTGTCTTTGAACTATTTAGATAATTGTCTTAGTTCTCCATTTGGCCTCGCGCGTAGACCAGAAGCCCAGGGGGTAGGGGAGGACGTACTGGTGTCAATACCCGTTATTCGTTATCAAACCGTCAAGCCGGCACTTAGCGTTTGTCATCGGTGTGACTTTTCAGTGGAGGTAGGAGGCGGGGAACAAACGTCAAGGGTGGCAGCGACTGTGCTGATCGACTTCCTCCTCTCTTAGTGGGGGGATTTGCTAGTAGAAGTTTTGTAATACGGTTACCCCCACTTCAACCACTTCTCAGAAAAAAAAAATTCCTACAACAAACGAAAAGAGCATTTGTTTTTCAATTATTGTAAAAACAAATTGATCTATATTGCGTAACTACATGATGGAATTAATCGGATAGTTACCCGTTTAGAGGCGACCCTCCACGGGAAGTTTGTACGATGGTATAATTTAATGTCATCCTCCAAGTTTCCAAGACGATCCGTTCTCCTTAATTACTCACACAGGGGAGAAAGCCAACACCTGCTCACTAAGTCCTCGGGGAGCCCACTTCTCGCCCTTCTGCAGGAAAGCCGCAGTCTCCCAGAGCGTGGCCAGGGCTGAGCCCTGAGAAGGGGCCACAAGGCAAACAGGAAGTGAGTCTTTAACTTTGGTGACTGACCACAAAAGACTCAGGCTTTCTTTGTCTAGGCAGAGGTAATTGGAGAGCCGAACTGTCACCTTTCACAAAAGTCCCGGATAACAGTAAAACTCATAAAGTCGTGGATCTAGAAGGACTAGTGGTGTGTTTGTGGGTAGGCGTTCGCCTCGGGTCTTTCTCATCCAGATCCCCAACAGACCCGCGGAGGCTCCTCAACTTCCCAACCTCGGCACATTTGGGGCGGGCGGAGAAGCGCCGGCAGGTCCCCAGGTCTCAGAGACTGCGGGGTGCGTGCGTGCGTCC